TGTTTCGTTTTGCCACCTGTGGAATTACATCATTTTCTAACCGTCTTATCACTTCTGTGGTCACACCATGCCTTGTATTTAAACACTGTCTTTTACTGAAATCACACATGGAAAGGTGCCTGTAAAATTATTTTGTGGTTTTTAGAAATTAAAAAAAATAGCGGAATGAAATTACGCAATTTGAAAAATTCATGGAAATTTTTCACGCTTTAAAGCTATGATTTTGAGAATTTGTGAATTTTTTTAGAATTTGAAAAAGCTGGCTTTGAAGGCGCGTGAGATTTTGCGGTTAATTCTTTATTGGAGTGGTAAATTTGATATTTAATGGAAGTGTATCATGAAATGTGTTGACAAGCTTGAAAATCACGTAATTATTTTGAATTGGAATTAGGTCGTGGATTCAAAAGAATATCAGTAATGGAAATGCTACGCTCGCGAATTTATGAAAATCCATCAACGAATCAGAATAATGAATCCGAGGAATCATGAAAATCTTGTAACGTGTTAATTGGTACTCGAAAATTTGTAAATTTTTTGAGGAACGAAGTAATGAGCTGGTGAATCCATGAAAATATGACATGGGTTCTGTTGCTGAAATTCGAAATTTGTGGGGATTTGTTGCGGGTTGCTTCCAAAAATCCCAAATTCCTGGAAGTGTTTCATGGGTCAAGTCGGTGGGTTTCAAAATTTGTGGAAAGTACCCGCGGTCGGGTTGAGAAGTTTCAAAATTTGTGAAAGTTTAAAACGAATTGCTGAAATTACGAGTTTTTTTTTGTTTCATGCATTATTGTATCTCAGATAAAATTGTTCCTCACTTGCTACCATTTTTCTCAATAAAATTCCTTTAATGTTTTGAGCAATTGTTTCTCGCATACTAAATCTCTTCGACGTTTTGTGTGACATCCGTGAGGAAGGAAACAACCACCTGCATACTGTTCTGGAAGAATGCTTTGCGTCTCTGAAAGCATACAGTTGGCGATCTGGAGCCCTTATATATATATCTGCTTCGGTTGAGGGTTCCGATCCTTAACAGTTTATAAAGGATCGGTACCTAGTGTAAATGGGTTTGCTGGCTAGGCGACTCCTCGACTGCTCCAGTGTTCCGGCTTGTCGAGTTGGGTTGTTGGCTGCTTGGTGATAATTCGGGGTAGCAGCAGGGTCCAGTCCCTCGCAAGTCGACTGGGTGGCCCCCACAATTTTGCAAACTTCACACTAAATCGACACTACTTTACAAAACTGACGCGGTGGCCTTATATGGGCCGCTTTCGCGCCATTACAGGGCCTACTAGCAGGGAGTCATGATGCAACATAAATAAATACCCGTCCTTCTCAGCATTGATGCTAAGATTCCTACACCAGCAACCGGTGCATTCGTGTTGTTTTCCACGATAAATCTGGATCTTTATTGTTCTTTCTAGAGGCCTTTCCTCCCTCGCCCTTTCCTCCTCCCCGTGCGGTCCGTGAACGATAACAGACAAAAGGAGGTGGCTATGTCTTGCACATATCAAAGGCTGAAGCCTTGCCAAGGTGCCTCTTTTAGGGGAATTGCTGAGCTGAAAATTCCTCCAGGAGACGAAAACTAAAGTCAGGATCGCTGGCAAACTGACTGGCCACCATTTTTGGTGCAGCACGGATCTAGGAAAGTGGAAGTGTTGGCAGCTGTGTAGCTAGGAAACGACACTGTTGAATGCACTCATCAAAGCATCGGAGCAAAACGATTGTTCACTGTGTATTGGTCACTATGTATTGGTCAAGATTTCATTTTAATTACGAAATGGGTTTTATAACAAAACAAGGAAAAACACACGAGTATAGAAACTACCTTTAATCGTTACGCTAGTGCATGGTTTCTGAGATATTCTTTTCATTTTTTTTTTTTTTTCAAATTTCTCAATTCCTTTATTTCTTCTCACCGTCACCCCCGTCTCTCCTTGCATTCTTTTCCTTTACCTAAAAATCCTTGAAAGATGCAAAATAGAGGACCTAACTCCCCCTCCGCCCCTCTGCGGATTGTAACAACCAGATTGACCTTGGAGGCCTAAGTGGCGAAGGCACGATAGATTAAGTTCACATTGATTCTCTCTTATCACATTTCTCAAAAAAAGGGAGGCAGTAAAGTGGTATGTGTAAGACTGGATGAACCTATGATAAGCAAGCTGGCCTTTTCTTCGAATTAAGTACCATAAATTCGTCAATTCCAATATATTCACCGTCACTTAAGTCTTTGACTTCGACAGCTATCTGCAAATCCAAAAGCGTCAGAACTTTAATGCATTTCTACAGCACAAAGAATTTCGATAATCCGTTAAGAAATGGCGCACACGGATTTCGCTGTTTGACTAATGATAGCTGGGCCCTATCACCATGTTAAATGTGCGGCTGCATCTCAGTAACGTCAAGAAACCGATAACCCGATGTCCTGGAAAAAAGCGTCTGTTAACAACGAAATATGTTGCTGCAAGATAAACTGTTGTACTAAATCAGGTGTAGCATTGTATGCAGCAACTGTCAAGGATTGTTGCTAGACTACTGGCTTTTTGTACGTAGTCAAACAGGGCCCCTTTTTGCAAACGAAATGAGCCCGGAAGAAACAGTACCACTAATTTTCGTCAAATCATGTAACAAGCAACTCACGTAATCATAAGAACCAGCCTGTAGAGGAATCATTTCACGATACCAACGATTTGTTTGTTTTTTCAGTGGTGGAGCCTGAAAACTTATGAGAAATGGTAACGATATGCTTTGAATCAATTTTAAAATATACGTCTAAATATCAGGCACTATCACAAATTAAAATTTTGAAGTCACACGCGATCCAAAAATATCCTCGTAAAATTTCAACTTTCTAACTCCCCTGGCTGCTCTACTGAAAGCGAGTAACAAAATACGATTACAGAAACCCACTGATGACCTCTCCTCAATATACATTTTGGATTTCCTAAGTCATAGAAGAATTCTCAGCAAAAAAAAATAAAGTATAAAAGCGTTCCCAAAAAGAATTTTTTTTTCAAAAAGTACCGTAAAAATGATTGTCTCTTGCGGCTGATTCTGAATTTTGGCAAACACTCGAAATTTCGAACTGCTATTTGAGGCTTTATGATATGCAAAAACAAAGTTGAAATCGTCAGTAGCTTGAAATGACGAGGTTTGCAGGCGAGCAATTGCAACGGGACCAGCAATGTATGCGAAGGATCCTTCTGAAAAGTTAAATAAGTTTCAGTTCTGTGCGGGATGTTACAACAAGTGAAACCTGGGATCCTCAAAAGATTGCAGAGTCAAGGCGGGCGAGG